ATGGTATCTCTGTCCCCAGTAGTTCTACCCTTTAACTTTTTCCCCAGAAGCCGTGTAGAGGAATGCTCCTCCATACACGCATTATCTTCACAGGCTCTTCCTGTGCATGTGGAGACTGACTTTCTTCGTGTGGAGATATTTGCCTAACCACCTTAACTGGCTTTGGTGGTGTAACTGGCCTTTTCTGGGTGTTTAATTTAGGGCAAGCCGTTTTCTTATGACCCTCTTGATGGCAGAAGTAACAGACAAGTTGTTCTGTGGCAATCTCTGGAATGCGGTCCCTCCTGACAGGATTTTGGTTTCCCACGTCAGTTTTCTCTTTTGGAACCCATTCCCTCGGTCTCTTGGTGGCTCCTGAGCCATGACTCACATTCCAGTCATGCTCCATCTCATCCAACCAAGCCGCGAGATCTGACACTTGTTTAATCTTCTTGTCTTTAACGAACCACCTCATTTGTATGGGGATCAGCCGATAAAACTGTTCCATACAAACTAAATGCTTTAACTCTTCAAAAGTGGTCGTTTTACTTCCTTCAAGCCATCTCTCTAAGGCTTTTTCCACTCGGCTTCCCAATTGTGAAAAGGTTTCTCCTGGCTTTCTTTTGATCTCCCTGAACATTTTCCTACTTTGTTCAGGGGTCAAGCCAAACCTCAGCTTCACCCTTTCTTTAAATATGAGGTAACTCGTGCTCTCTGCCTCTCTCAGATCAGCGTAAACCTCACTAAGTTCCCCACAAAGTAGTGGTCTCAGGTACACCATCATTTTGGCTTCAGGTACCTCGAAATCGTGGCAAGCCCGTTCAAAGGTAGCCAGAAATGACTCTACGCAGTCCCCTTTTACATAACGAGGAAAGTTCTTTAACACCCTTTGCATGTTAGAGTCTTGCTGTTGGCTTAAGTTAGGAGTTCTCTCATGTTCTCTAAATCGTAGTTCTGCCATTCGCTCCTCATGTCTTAAACGTTCCCTTTCCCTTTCCACCTCAGCCATTCTTTCACTCTGCCTTTCTTCAGCTTGCATTCTTTCTCTTTCCCTTTCAGCCTGAATCTTTTCTCTTTCTCTTTCAGCCTGAAACTTTTCCCTTTCCAATTCAATCATTCTTTCCTTCTCCCTTTCTTCTTTCTCTTTCAGCCTGAAACTCAAGTTCTCTCAACCTCATTTCTAGCCTAAGCTTTTCAATGGTCAAAGAGGTAGCTATCTGTTCTTGTCTACCCTCTGGTATTTGGGTCTCAGTTTCCTCAACTACAGAGGCAGTTGTCTCCCCTTCCCTTTCTGGTTCTTCAGGAGTGCCCTTCTTTGTCTTTGGTGGTGCCATGGTGCCTAATGTGTTTTAAAATGGCGCTCGAGGTGTTCTCTCTCTGAGGTAATTCTTGGTGTCACGTTTTGACAAAATTTTACCTCAGGATTCACACAAAAATGCCCTGGATTGAGATGTTACACGAATCCACACCGCTGCAAACCAATTATAAAAGCTCCTTTATTGGCCGTCTGGGCAGGGGGGTCAAAGAATCCCACCACTGCCACCAAATTATAAAGACTCCTTAATGCTATTTGGGCAGGGGGTAAAGCAAACCCACCTCTGCCACACCAATTATAATAACCAGGCAGATGGCAATGTGATCATTCCCACCATCTACCCCTAATCATAAAGGCAGTCTTTATGACCAAACAATATCACTGGACAGGGGGCAAACAGATCCCAACACTGTCCCTCCTTCAATAAGGAATTCACACCACTTTGGCTCTTATAGCGTTTGGGGAATGTCTCTTTATTTTAAAAACCTTTGCTGCCACCATAAACTAAAGAATCACGAACCCTCTAGCTATTTAGAATGTTAAAAGGCTTTTTAAAAACACTTCTAGGACCACCAAGTACTGTTTATTACCAAGGGCTTCTTTGAGGGGAAACAGGAGAGGTTGATTCAAAAATGAAAGGGACTCAAAACACAAATGGCACTTGACTCAGGCTTAAATTTTAAAAATAACAAGAAAGATTTTATTGAATACAAGTTACAGAATAAAAGTGAATGCAGGTGAAAAGGCTTAGCTGTTACAATTAAAGTGTTCTTTGTTCTTAGAAGCGTATCGGTTGCATGAGAGAATGGTTCATTTCTTTGTTACAATTCTTAACCAAAACCCAGCTATTTTCTTTTCTAAAATAGCTGTAACCAGTCTGCCACAGCCTACTTTGCTGTGCAAACTACAGGCAAGCTGCCTATTCCTAACAGAGACTCCTAAAACTCTAATCCTACTCTAACATCACCCAAAACTGAACTCCACTCTCAAAATAAGCTGCTCTCTTTCCCTCCAACTGGCTAACTCCGCCCCCATTTTACCAACCAATCCTGGCTGTTGCTGGGCTGGCTCAGGCCTAGGCCACTCCCCCTCTCTGAACTGGAGTCTTCCCTAAACTAAGATGGCTCCTGCTGCCCTCTGCCAGGCCTTCTAAGCTGAAACTACCTAGCCTGTCTCTTCCTAGGCCCGCACCTTGGGAAGTCTGATCTGGCCACGGTGGTCCACGCTCTTGTTACATCCCGAATAGACTACTGCAACGATCTCTATGTGGGGTTGCCCTTGAAGACTGTTCGGAAACTTCAACCAGTCCAGCGAGCGGCAGCCAGACTGCTCACCGGAGCGACATACAGGGAGCACACCACCCCCCTGTTGTGCCAGCTCCACTGGCTGCCGGTTCAGTTCCGAGCACAATTCAAGGTGCTGGTTTTGACCTACAAAACCCTGTACGGTTCCGGTCCAGTGTATCTGTCCGAACGTATCTCCCTCTACGTCCCACCCTCGGAGTTTGAGATCATCTGGGGAGGCCCTGCTCTCGACCCCACCGCTATCACAAGTGAGGCTGGTGGGGACGAGGAGCAGGGCTTTCTCAGTGGTGGCCCCTCACCTGTGGAACTCTCTCCCGGGGGAAATCAGGGCATCATCATCCCTCCTCGCCTTCAGGAGGAGGGTGAAGACATGGTTATGGGACCAGGCCTTTGGGCAACCAGGCAATTAAATAAGACAATCAGACGAGTAAGACCAGCAGGATTGACGAAGTGGAATCAAAAAACAGATCTATGAGATAGCGAACACTGACAGTGTAGGAGGAGGAAGTGGGTTTGTATTGGTTTTTATTGATTTTATTGATTTTATTGGGATAATGCATGAATTGTTGGTAATTGTGAATGTGTTGTAGTTGTGTGATGATTGTTTTGTAATGCAGGCATCTAATCGTGCCTTTGCTGTTGTAAGCCGCCCTGGGTCCCCTTCGGGGTGAGAAGGGCGGGGTAAAAGAACCCCAAATAAATAAAAAAAAAATAAATGTATACATGTTGGATTCAAGGCAACACTGGCCCTCAGGGGACTTTGGAAGGTTGTTTTTCCACAAAAGAAATCTGCTTCTGAATGCTGCATATCCCTGTGGACACAGAGGCAATTTTGCCATATTTATAGCCCATTTTTGGTCCAAGATGGGCCATTTGTCCAACTCAAAGCTGAGTATGAAAGGAGAGATCCATCTTATATTAAAGCTTCTCCTCCTCAGATGAAGGAAAAGGCGGAGCGTGCCCTGCAAGCAAAGAACCTGCCTCTGGACGTGGTTATTGAAAACCTGACTCTTCGGGAGAGTCGCCGAGACATTGATGTGGTGAAGGACCCCGTTGAGGATGAGTTGCACAAAGAGGTGGAGGTGATAGATGCCACCAGGAGAGACCTTCAGCAGAAAGTGAGCGAGGCCTTTGAGCAACTCTGGTGAGCCAAAGGGCCTGGAAGGGCCACAGCATCTTAGCTTTGTGTCTTCTTTGGGATTTAGGGATTAAAAGAGGACTTGGCAATATATGGTTATTCCAGATGATGTTGACTGCAAGTATCCCTCATCCCTGCTGTCTAGGGCTGATGGACGATGTAGTCCAGCAACATCTGCACAGTGCTCCTTTCTTAAAGAACTTCACAACTCTCTTGTTCTTCATCACACAAATAGTTTGACCATGTAGCTCTGTGACCTTACATTCTTCAACGGTCAAAAGTCCTAAATATTTATGGAGTGGTTTTCAGATCCCCAAAGCATTTGGGTATTGCATCTTCTCTCAATACCTTACCAGGGCAGTATATATAACTGATGTAAAACAATTGCACACTGCATATCAGAACAGCTTCAAAAAGTCCAATGTTATTTATTTATTTACAGCATTTATATTCTGCCCTTCTCTCCCCAAAGGAGACTCAGGGCGGATTACAGAACACATACACGGCAAACATTCAATGCTGTTAAACCAGTAGTTCCCAACCTTTTTTTTTTTTGGCCAGGGACCACTTTGACCAAGGGACCACTTTGACCAGGGACCACTTTGACCAGGGACCATTTGACCAGGGACCACTTTGACCAGGGACCAC